TTTTTATTTTTATTTTTGAAAAAAACTTGGCGATTATCTTTATTTTTGAATTTATTGATAAATAAATAAGGGATTCCCCCCCCCCCTCCACATGCCACCACGCCGAACCAAGAACTCCCAACGTGCCACCGCCGACACCGCCGCTGCTGCCGCCACCACCGCTGCTGCGGCATCCTCCACAGCCGTTCAGGCCACGTCCTCCACCCCCTCTTCCCCTGACATGGCCGCATCCTCCATCAACATGTCTGACATCCGCACCGACTCAGTTGATAGCATCGCCCGCAACCTCGCAGGCGAACAACCACCAGCAAACACCGCCACCCTCGACCTCTCCGCCATCCTCCACGCACTCAACACCATTCGAATCTCCGTCACCGCCTCTCTCGACGACATAAAGGCCAACATGTCGTCCATATGCGACCGCGTCACCACGCTCGAAGGGACCATCCCCTCCATTACGGTCGTCACCACCGCGCAAACCACTCCCTCCTCTACAGTGCAAACCACTCCAACCTCCACAGTGCAAACCACTCCCTCCTCCACAACCGCCTCCAGCAACACCCCCCCTCCGACCTCCTCCACTCCTACCACCTCTACCACCACATCCATCAACCCTTCAACCTCCACCATTGTCCCGTTCCCTCCACCTCCTCCCTCATCCGGCGCATCCAGCACATCGCCTCATTCCTCGCCCATCCATGTCACCCCTCTCCCCTCTCCCCTCCCCGCACTCCCAAACCCTCTTCCAACCCATCATGACCACCTCCACCATCCCCACCATCCGTCTCACCTATTCCCAAGGCACCTCGGGGGTTTACCCCGCAACGCCACAACTCCCCCCCAACCACCTCCTTGAGGACAACAACCAAATCGACCACACCTGCTACGACACCACCCCCGATAACCTCAGCTTCAACACCCTCTCGCAGATCGTTCACCGCGACGGGGAAATCCCCCGTTCCTTCCGATCCGGCGAAATCATGTCCTTCTCCGGCCTCCCCCACGAGGACGTTTTCCTCTTCCTAACCCAGCTCCAGAACTCTTTTCACCTCCACCACATGCCCCTTGCCCACTGGCTCCCCATTGCCACCGCCCGCCTCCTTGGCAATGCCGCCAAATGGTGGATGACTAAAGTCAGCAACCGCCGAGCCTCTGGAGGACCACGTCACTCCTTCCTCCAATGGGCCAAACTTCTCGCTGCCACCTTCCGCCCCCAGAAAACCATTGACGACTACCTCGAACAATTCTGCCACCTCCGCCAAACCGGTCCCACAGACCGCTTCGTCCAATACATCCGCTCTCTCCGCCATCACCTCCCCACCACCGTCATTCCCGACTTTGCGTTCATCTCCCGCATCAAGCGAGTATGCCACAAAGATCTTGCCACCGCCCTTGCCCACGAACCCGACATGCCCCTTGCTGACCTCCTCTCTTGCATGCTTCACCACAATCGACTCCTCCACCCCCATCACCAGTCCGCGCCCGCTCCCTCCCGCCCCCTCTTTTTCCATAACGACACCACTCAACCCACCTCCGATGACGACTTCGACACTGCCTCTCTCGACCCCTCCCAATTCACCATCGAGGACCTCCAGACCGCCCACCTTATACGGATGGAACGCCAGGATCGTGCCTCTCGACCGCCTTCTTCCTCTCCACCCCGCCGCCTCCAGAAACTCACACCCGCAGAACGCATATACCTCCAGGAACACAACGGGTGTTTTCGTTGCCGCCAGTTAGGTCATCAAYAGACCAACTGCCCCAACGCTAGCCACTTTACTCGACAGGCCCCTCGCTCCACGGGACCCGGCCCTTCTACTCCCACTCCTCCCTCCACCTGAACACTRTCCMCCCAGTCTTCCATGTCGAGTACCTAAATGAATMCCATGAAYCCCCGCTCCAGTTCGCCGACCGCCTATATCCCAAACCTCCATCAATCATGCTACCCACAGGACCTGAATTCGTTGTCGAAACCATCATCGGCCGACGAACCACTCAGGTATCTGATCATCCGGAACCAATCACTGAATACAAAGTCAAATGGACCGGATACCCCGACGAAGAATCTACATAGGAACCTCTCTCTAATCTTAAGAACGCCATGAAACTTGTCCGCGCCTATGATCGTGCTAATCCTATGTCCTAGATACCTATATCACTATGGCATAAACCCCCGCTAAAAACCCTTGCAACCCTGCTCTACACACACCCTTGAACCCAGTCCACCCTTCCCTTGATCCTCATTCCTGATGTCTGATCTGCCCTTGCCCTCGCCTAGCCTTGTCCCATCTGTCCTCTCCACTACCTTGTCTCTCTTGTCCAATGCTTGTGAACTTGCATGACGTCGGTGATAAAGGATCTAATGGCAAGCGCACGAGGACGATGGTCTACTGCCTCACTGTTCATGGAGATTATGCAACTGGTTTGGCCACCATGCTGTTTCATTGGCCGGCATCCCCGACTCGCGGACTTACTGGAGCAGCAACTTGTGACATGGATCTTTGCATCAGTCTGCGACTTCCTTGCTTCCAGATCAGACCTCATTGCAGTTCGTGTACCGGACGCACCCTAGCACTTGGACTTTGACACTTGAACTACTACTACGCTTCCTGGACTTCTACCTATCGCAGCTGCTGAAGACCGCTTATACCACCTACTCCAAAGACCTGATCAAAACCGCTGCAGACCCCTTTTCAAGACACTTGGACACTTTGTTCCTACATGAGATTCTGCTTCCGACTGCTTCGAACACACCAGCCTTCGCACCCTGAACAAACATTTTCTGACTTTGACAACCCCGTAGAACATCATTAGCAGATCCCTGTTTCCCCAACCATTGTTCCCCATACCCACTAGAACATCAATAGACATCCCCTGTTCCCCTGACCATTGTTTCCCTTACCCACTACAACATCAATAACAATACCCTGTTTTCCTGAACACCGTTTCCCTTACCCAGTAGAACATCAATATAAGTTTCCCTGTGCCCTGAACTTTGTTCCCCCTTAACCTATAGCGAGCCATGAGTCCCCTTCGTTCATCAGTAGGACCACCCTGCTCCCTATCTCCCTTTAGTTCATTCGTAGGACTACCCTGTTCCTCGCAACCCCCCCTAGTTCATCAGTAGGACAACTCTGTTCACCGGTATCAAACCCTGTTCCCTCTACCTCCCGCAGCCCCTGCCACCCACATTATACCCCTCTTCCCTTTCGACTTGTTAACCAGTGATCGGCCCCGTCCCGTCCTTCACAGATTTCTTGTTTCATGATTTTTGGCTGCCGGGACGTTGCCTTCTAGAGGGAGGGGATAGTGTTACGGACTCCGCCAGGGCTCGATCCCTGGTCTTCCTTTTGTTGTTTCAGCTGCATCCCGTTTTCGGCCTGGCACCCTTTTTCCAAACCCCTCCTTTGGTACCGTAGGATTTTGGACAACTGGCGCCATGCTGCAATTCAGGCGCCACTTTCAAATACTGCATTTTTCAGTTCTGCCCTCGGGGCCTTTGCAGAAATGCCCCTAGTACCGTACGTGTCACCGGTACTTATACCGACTCCCCGTACGGTACGGGGCCCGGTCTCGTACCAGTTCCCTGCTGCTGTACTCGTACTCAGTGTGACTTGCTGTTTCAGCATTCGGAATCCAAGACTTCGACTTTGTGCCTTGCCACTGTGTCTGCGTCCGATCCTCAGTCCGAGTCAGTCGTGTCGAGTGAGTGAGTGTGTGTGTGTGCTCTCACTCTCTCCCTCTCTCTCCTCTCCCTCGGCTCACCCTCAGCCTCACGCTCGTTACATATCTCCACTGCCATGTTCATCCATGCGCTGGCGAAAATTCGAGTGATGCAAAACATGAGGAATGTATTGGTGGTCATTGCTCATCACGTCTTTGAGGGCGCAGGGCGAGCGGACGGCCTCATGCCATTCGTTGGTCGACGTCAACGACGGATATGGGTGCGGGCGCGAGTGGGAGGAAGGTGGGACAAGTTGAACATGACGGGAGTGGGACACGAAAAGAAATTTCGGGAATACACACGGCTCACGTGTTCTGTGTTCGACGAAATTCTGCAACGAATTGCTCCAAGAATTCAAAGGAGGGACTGTCGCTGGAGAGATGTTTTGCCAGCGTCTCTCAAGTTCACCTTCGCACTTTACAGATGGGCCACATGCGGATTTTACCAGCAATGTGGGAACGACTTCGGTATGGGATTACACAGCGCTGTACGATGCACGAACGACGTGGCAAGAGCTATTTGTGTGGAGTACGGGCATGTTTTGTGTTGGTCGACAGGTGCTCGCTTGCGGGCCACCCTCGACTAGTATGAGGGGAAAGGTTTCCTCGACTGTTTTGGTGTCATTGACTATACACACATCGACATTAATAAGCCACGTGGCGGGCAGGCGGAGCCGTACTTCGATCGCAACAGGCAATACTCAGTCCAAGCGCAAGTTGTGTGCGATGAGAACCTGCGCATACTGGATGTCGTTGTCGGCACACCTGGTTCTGTTCACGATTCGCATGTTCTACGTCTCTCTGATTTGTACTAGCGTGGAAAGGACGGGAGGGAGTCTTTCACGCCGAGGACGAATGTGTTGATGGATGGCGTGGTGATGGGGAAATATTTGCTGGGAGATGCTGGTTATCCAATCCTGTCGTGGTTGATGACGCCGTTTGGCGGCAGTGACCGGACGACACACGAGAGATCATTTGACAACAAGTTCTTTGCCATGCGCAGCGCGATTGAAAGGTGCTTCCACAGGTTGAAAGGAATGTGAAGATGCTTTGGGCGCAAACACATCGCGAATATGGAGAATCTTTGTTATTAGTTCTTCGCTTGCTGCATTTTACACAACATCATTATTGACGCGAGCATCCCAGTCGACGTTGAACTGCTGCGGCAGAGACCGGATGATGATAGTGAAAACGACGGCGGTGAAAGGAGAACCTGCGGAAGGCGTGGACGACAACGAAGATGGTGAGAATGAAGGAGAACATGTGGACGACATCGACAACGACGATAGTGATGGCGAGGCCGCTCTTCGACGCGAGGGGTCCGCGTTTTTTGTGCGCCTGCTGGTGCACAGGGATGCGTGTTCCTCAGTGTGCTTTCATGTGATTTGATTGGCCTCTCGAAAATGGAGAGAGAGAGAGAGAGAGAGAGAGAGAGAGAGAGAGAGAGAGAGAGAGAGAG